CACACACACACACACACACACACACACACACACACACACACACACACTAAAATGCACTGGTATTTATCCTGGATCAACATAGACAGATTTACGAGAGGAGCCGCCACATTCATTAACACAGGTCTCGGCCCGTGGGGCTGTGTTTATCAAACACGGGCGCACCAATCAATGCAAAGCTCAGTCTGCAGGCTACTGCGACTTTTCATAGGGGAGCCGATGTGCAGCTGAGAAAAAAACAACACAAGACACCTGATTGATCCTTTACAGATTGGACAAATCAGAGATATTTAAAATGCTTAAAGAGCTCGAGGTTACATGCTCGCTGATCAATGGCGGTGCTTGTAATTAAAGCCAAACAAACAGCGTAATGAGCAAACCCTGGGTTTTTTTTCTTCTTCCCCTCTCCCTTCAGTGCACCGAGTTCATCGAGTTCACAACGCCACCACTGCCAGTTTCACATTACAGGAAGATAACTTCTCACGAGCTTTTAACCCATCACCCCGACTGCATTTCTGTCGCTGTCGTCCATCTTTACTCACCTCTCGCGCCCAAACAAAAATGTCAAAAGTGTTGTGGTTGTCTGCACAGCTGTCCTCAGATTCACCCTCTCCTCCTGCCCTGTCCTCCTCTCCCACTCTTCCTCTGCGTTGCTCCTCCTTTTTTTCTTGTTCCTCCCACCATCTGCTGGCAATGTAAACAATCCACCTCGAGCAGCATACGTCTGTCTTATCTCCGTCGTTTCTATCCCTTCTCTTGACTCAATTCTCCCAGAGATTGTCTAATCGGACCCCGTTAGCCAGGGTGCCAACGGGAGGCCTGTGGAGGGGCACCCGGGCTCGACTCAACCACGTCAAGGCCCAACTCTGCCAACTGGGGGAGTGCCAGGCCTTCATGAAACACTAGCAGAGCTATAAAGGCATGTACTGCCTCCCCACATCCCGCCTTCCTTTTCCAGTGCTTCTAACGGATTCTAACAGAGGAGTGCAGCTGACCTTGTGGCCGATAACCTTTGTATCCACTTCTTCCATTGATGTTTCCTGTACAACAAATAGCTTCCTCTGTTTTTCCATGTTGAGACAGCAAACATGGCTACAACTTCTGAAATGCTCCAGCTTTGAGAAAAACACTGCCTGGTGACAAGAAAACTCCTTGTTCGCTAAATGGAAAAACAAAGCAACGGATCTTGTGGTTCTGTTCACCGTCCAATTGTGTCGCAAAGCAACAGAAGCATTCCTACTTTACTGTTTTACAAGAACTGAACTGGATGTTCCTGGATGTTGGAAGCCTATTTTGCAAACACAGTTGAAAAGTTATCCTGAGAGAGATCACATCACCATCTGGAATTAAAAATAGCAAATGCATGTTGATGACTTGATCGACTAACGATACCTTCAGGCGGATGATGTAATACTTACATCACACTGTAGACCGCGTTGCACCAACCAAACCCAGAAATACAGTGAAACGTAATAGTGCAACTGCAGTAGATAACATTGATGAAATATCCTCATTATTGTGGCGAAGAGTGCTTGAATTTAAAATCAAAGCAGAAAACTCCAGCTGGTCCCCCCAAAAAAGCACCATAAAAGTGCTCGTTATGCTCCGGATCCGTCCCAGAGTCTATCAACATATTAATGTGAAAATAAAGAGGGCGGACAAAATAAAAGCAGCATCTTTACAGTGTAATGCAAACCAACATGATGAAAAATACAGTTTCAACTCTAATTATTACAATTTGGGTAAAAAATAGTAAACATAACAAAGTCGAACAAAGTAATATAATGTCATCTCTGTGTCCATCTCCCATATTTTAAAACCTTGGGTTGTTCACTGACATGTATGAGTTATTTCTTTTTTGTTAATTATTTATTTATTATTGACAATATGCCAGAGTTTGAGTGCCTTCACTGTTAAAGTAAGAATTATGGCCAATGAGCAACTCTTGAATGATGTTCATTTCTCAGAATAAAAGTTTCTTTGTTGTCTCGATTGTATCTAAATTATCTGTATTATCTGGCCATGCGGACAGATTTGGTTTCACATACTGACATTTTGAAACAATGTCTCTGGTGTGTCTGCGTCCTCAACAATACAGTGGAGGTGAATGTATTCTAGCAGAAAAAAAAATGACATGACACCCCTTTTTCATAAAACCTCCCGCCTGTTACGGTCCATACCTTTGGTGCCGGGCGGCTGAAGGTTGTCTCCAGTGAGGGTGCACCAGTCAACAGGGAAGATGTCACGCGAGTCATAGCGGCAGTAGTAGTCAAAGGCTCCCCGCCAACCATCAAAGGTGACCAGCACCTCGACGCCACGCAGTGCACCCACTGTGGCCGGACAGATGAAGTGGGGATTTTTGCGGTCCACCGCCTCCAGTTTCATGCCTAACTGGAAGGAGTTCTGCTCCGGGGCGGGAGGCTCCTGCTGGGGAACATGGAGAGAAAGAAAAGGGGGTCAGGTATGAAGTGGGCATGTGAGTCAGTGTATTTATTTGTACCAGGAAAGTACAGTAAAATCAATAAAATACTTTATTGATTCTACCAGAAATTATGACTTATCGATCCCAGTGAACTCTGGTATGAATGAGTAACTATGACTAATAAAGAAACCTGCTTGTTTTCTCCCTGATATGGTTCAAAAAGTAGTTCTTTAGAGTGTGTTGAGCTTGTGAGCCTTGTACAGGTACCTTGTGAAAGATGCGAGAGGGCGCCATCTCAGCTCCATTTAGCGTTTTCAGAAGGAACATGGGCCAAGAGGACGCATTGAGACGGAAACCTGAAGAAGGCGACAATTGTTGTCATAATTACAACAGCTTCACGCAGACAAATCACAGGAAACAAACAAGACATCTGAACACATCACCTTGGCCCTGAGAAATTCTGACGAGTTTTCACTATATGATATTTCATAGACCGAACGATTGATCAAGAACATAATTTGCAGATGAAGAAAATAAAAACAGTCTAAATGGGCAGACAAACGGATGCTCTTGTGTCTTTTCCCACGGATATTCAATACAGAAATGTCCGGGGTAGGAGGCTTTCTATGCTGTGCTAGGGAGTTATTTATAGGCATTAACATGACACATTGACATTTGTGCTGTTAGTCACCGACACCTTGTGGGCCAGAATGAAATCCCCTAAAACTGGAAAAGACAAAAAGATAATGTGTCACTGTGCGTCCTTACCAAGCGGGGGCTGCAGCATGCCTCCGTTCTTCTCACAGTTGCCTATTGGCTGGATCTCTGAGGAGTCCACGAGGCGCCAGAAGTCGTTCTTGTTGTCCGACCCGTCCAAGCGCAGCCGCAGCCGCGAGCCCGTCAGGCCCACCACGGTGGCGATGCAGGTGGACGTGGTGTTTCGCGGGTCCAGCGCCTCCAGCTTCATGCCCGCCTTGAACTCGTTAAGTGGGGGCGTGAGGCTCTAGATGGTGACGACAGACAAGCGTTAGCTGGAGAGCGGCAAACGTGATAGCAGCGGCGGAGAAAGAATTTGGTGTCATCAATTAATCACAGGAGAGATGCTTACAAATTTGATGAAGACGGATAAGAGTGGACCTTTTAATCTTGCTCACCTGTCTGAAACAAGCAGAGGGCGCTGCAACGGCACCCGTCTCTTTCAGGTATTTCTCCCAACTGAAAAGCCCTGCAGAGTAATACAAGGAGCAACAGGATATGTATGTGTTAAGATGTGTTTTTATGCATTTTGAGTTGAATTTTACAATGTTTTGTGAGCCCCAACACAAAACAACAAAGACACACGGAGCTTGAAATCTATTACCAACACTCCAGCAAATATCGTCTCGGTGATTAATGAAACAATGCCGAGGTAAATCCTTGGGCACTTTCTCCTTTTAGAATCGCCCCGGACCGACTTCATATATCACTGGCTGCTGTGGGTTATTTACCTTGGTACTGTGAGAGCACCCGGGAGGGCCGTCCACTCCGGGCTTGCTTGATCCTTCTGCCATCTTTCCACTCTATAGCTAGAGGAGCCAAGAAAGATAGAATAAGCTCTCAACTACGGGTGATTTTCACATCAGTCAGTACCTTGCAATACCTGCCACACTCACTGCTCCAAACATGGCCTGGGATTACAGGACTATTACAAGAGAATGTATGGAGCTGCCTGCACAGTAAGAACAAAAGGGATAGGTTGGAATGAACTCAAACTAAAATGTGCCATGCTTCTAGCTTTACCTGAAAGCTACTATGAATACTTGTTTGTTGTAGTTATTTGGGGGGGGAAATACTGCTTTCATATCGCGAATGGCAAAGTTGAATTTTACCTTTCTGTGGCACAGGTTTCCTCATGCTCCAATACTGACCAAGCTCACGACACACAAGTGGCCTCCACTCTGAAGACGAGAGAAAAACAAGACAAAAAGAGCTCCGTTACAGCTGTGGGAAATCAAGAGATGAACGTGGTCGATTGTTTGTTGTGGCTGTTACGATTGAAAACAAACCTTTGTGTGGTCATATGTCGGACTGAGTTTTGGGGAAATGCGTTTAATATTTTCCATTTGATGGAGCCATAGAACACATTGAGTGTCAGGTTTGAATATTTCACTCAGTATTAAAAATTATATTTCAGATTATTACTCTTATGGTTCCTCTATTGGTCCTGTAAACTAAAAGAATTTAGAGGAAATATAAGATATTTAATAAAAAGTTGCCGTATGAGGCTTAAAATTTAAAATCGGATCAATCCATCGGTGCATCTCTACTCGGGTTAGATTTAATATAGTTTGTACAACGAGCTGGAACAAGCAAAAAAATATGATATGATACTGTCAGACAGTGTGGATTTTGGGTTTTCTGACATTTGAGGTTTTAATGTTTTATATGGTTAAAGTGAAAAAGGTTATTTTGAGATGATGGAAATCTACCTTGCCTCTGTGTTGCTCAATGATATGGTTTCTTTTTGTATCTGTCAAGGACTGGGTAATCTGCATCCGAGTCATACTGTAAATTTGTTATGATTTTCGGGTCTCTTTATTGATTGTATCAGTAAGCAAATCAACTAAATTTAAAAACCTACTACTCGAACATCTGTGTTCACTGCACTGGAGATACGACATATCTGGACATGGATGGACTATTATATGTTACTTAAGCAACCTTTATATTTATCTTTTCTTTTCTTTTTTTTCGTATGTCGTGTATGTAAACCCAATAAAGCCTGTGTGTAGTGTGTCACTTGTTTGTGTTTTTATAAATCTTTCTCTTAAAGTTAAAAAAAATGTGAAGTAAACTTTATGCTAAGGGGTTAACAACTCACTAATAAAGCGTGTAAGAGTTAACTCAAATAACTGATCACACCAATGACACCGCAGGAGTACTCAGACCTAAGGCTGGGCTACAACATGTTAACTGTGCTGCATTTGAAAGAGAAACCAGATAGCTGCTCTTGTTATCTTTGTAGCATCATCATCACAGGAGGCAACCAGAGGCCCGTTCAACAAAGAGACCCAAGATCATGCCCACAATGTACAACATACAGATTTAATTTGCCTTTTTTTTTTTTCACACTTTAAGGAGTCACTTAGAGCTCCTTGCTGTGATAACTGTGTGCAGGCAAATCAGAGGGGACCACATATTAGAAACACCTCTCTGTATAGTGCAAAACGTCAGTATCACTCAGCTCCAATGCTATTGCTGTTATTCTCAAAACGTCAATTAAACACTCCCATGCAATAATCTAGTAAGAATGTTTACAAAACGCCTCGTCATCAATCAGTGATTAAGAGTTGAGGCTCTGTGACCCAAACCCTGAGCTCACCAGCGTTACCAACCAAACACAATGTACAGGTCAACAGGTCAGATGGATACGAACAAGGGGCTTGTTTCTGCAGTCCCACAGTCCAACACGGCATTTATCAGACGTAATGTAAATACAAATAATCCAAAATGTAGATTTCAGTTAGAGTTTATGAAATGACAACAATACAGGGCAGTGAGTATTGACACACAGTCACACTTGTTGACCATCTGCCAAATATTTGAATTATTGTGAGAGCAGTTATAAATTAAGTGTTAGTTTACAATTAAAAACAAGTCAAACAGCAATGTCAGAGGACCCACAAGGTAACTTATTTAACGTTTGTTATGTTTATATGAACAGCATCCTACCTTAAAACTTCATAACCGTTGAGCAGTGTTTCTCCTCCCCGGATGATTTCCTCTTCAATGGAAGTGCGCCTTTTTTCCTCCGCCGAGGGGGAGGTGGCGTCCAAATTAAAGCGGCCCGGTCCCTGCTTTAATTCCGTCTGGGAAAGTGACAGGAGGACTGGCTTTAGAGAGAGATCAGCATGTACCCCTTCCGCCTGTTGCTTGTGTTTACACCTCAAAGCACAGCTAGTACCACTTCGCTGTCGTCTACACGGGACGCTGTTTCCAATTATAGACAAAATATCGCATCTCACGTTGCAGAAATGTGTTGAGCTCCATCCAGAAACACAAAGCCAACACATGGGGGACCCCCCCACCGCCCTCTCCTCTAGTATATCTGCATGCGGGTTAGATGCCCGTTTACGTGACGGCAGCGCTAATTATGTTATTCATAACTTAACACCACATTAACGGTAGCCTCTAGAAGTATGACACACAAGTAAGTGGGAAATCAGACATGCATGCGGCAAGTGCAGACACCACATCCAGCATGCTATGCTACGCTCGGCTACACAGAGACATGCCCACTGCCCGGGATGCTAGCTTAGCATGCTAGGTAGCCCGCTGACCTGATTATAAATATTAGCATTAGCAGAACGGGAGCCCACCAGCATCTATATGGGGCCAGCCGGTGGTAATCTGCGCTCACCGCTGAAGCAGAGCCTGAAAACGCGACGTTGCTCGGTGTATCCGAGGGTGTTTACCTTGCTTTGCAACGTGTGTTTGTTTCTGATGTGGATTTAGCGCTTGTCCGCCATTTTTTTTTCTCTACAAGATGAGGAGGGGGTGTTTTGCCAACATTTTTTTTTTGTTGGGCAGTCAGACAGACAGGATGGAGGTTGGAGAAAGGGCAAAACAACGACCCGTGGCGGCCAAAAGATTTAAAGCAATTTTTAAAAAGCAATATGAAATGTAACAAATGTTTATTTACAGTTTAAGCCCCCAGGTAAAAAAAATATCTGGTATCTTTTTCACTGCAACACCAAAACATGACATGCAATTACACATTGTATTCATTTTAATATTCAGAACAATTTGTGCAACAGCATTTAACTACTTTATAAGCAGGCTTTAGTTATAATACATATAGTTATTTGCCAATGTATTAGGCACACCTAGCTCAGTGGCATCAAAGTGCAGTGTCCAAAACTAAAGTTGAATCAACACCTTTGAAAAACTTAATATTATAACATCCATCGAGGTGGGATTCATTGCAGGACTGTTGTGTTATTCTGCAATAGTTTTAGCCAGGTGTACCGAAAAACTGGCAACTGAGTGTGCCTATTACAGCATAGATCCTGCTTATAAATTAAATGTATGTATTTAAATGCCATTGCGTACATTGTACTGTATATTACAGTGAATATAATTTCCCCAACAAACTATTTCCAGGACTCCAACAAGCATCGCTGAGACCGCTGCATTGCTTTTAAGAATGCTGAAGAAATTGAGTTTTTCAGTTCTTATGCAGCGCTTTAGTGTGAAATATCTCTCATTAATAATAAGCAGTCATTTTATCACACAATGTTGATAACCATGATCATTCATTAATGAGAGGAATATTAAAATAATACAAATAATTTTAGTAAACATTATTATTTCAGCATTACTGCTGTACAGAGTACTGCTCTAGTTTCATTTAAACAGTGCTCTAGTTTTGGGCGTTTGACTAAGAATGTGGGGTATTTGCCTTGAGCATAACATTAATACATTTTGATTATCAGTGCACATAAAGCTTTACTTATTAACCACTATTTGTTCCAGTTAAGATTATTATAACATTCTGAACAGAATCATGGCAGCGTCAAAATGTACTACAAATAGAGGAATTTAATATCTAAAACGTAATGCAATCCACGCTCCCAGAGTGAAATCAGAGCACAATATCACTGAAATACAGTATGCCTGCAGTAGTATAATAAACCGGGCACAGTACAATATCTGTAAAGATATTCCTGATGAATTGTGTAGGTGTGAAAATTAGAAATGGGGCCATTTGGTAATGCCATGCCAATTACATCCGAGTAGCAACTGTAACTATGTGATTTGGAGAAACACCCAGCAGTTCAATTGTGTGTAATGGTCACCTGGCAGCACTGCTAATGCCCATTTCAGCCTACGCTGGGCAGGCTATGGCCCAGTGGCCCCCTGCACCCCAGGCAATTATGTTTGGTTTCACACGGTGAAAAGGGTTAATTGGCAGTGCCCACGCGCCTGATTGGACCTGTTTCACGCCTGTCAGCCTTCATCGCGTCAAAGGAAGCCCCAGTCCACCAGTCACCGTTATTACAACACACACAAACACACATACACACACCTCATGGACACGCACTGTACAAAGACTCTGTACTTGAATCTAATGTTGCGATGATTGTACATGCAGTATGTGGAGGAATAAACACACATGCACATAACCTGCACACACAACACACACACACACACACACACAAAAAAAGAAACACAAGCCACTACTGTACAGGAACACACTCATATAGAAATATGAAGTATCCTTCGTCCTCATGCAGAGACATAAGGATGTTCACACTTGCATGCACACAGGAATTATGCAAATCACTTTCTGGTTGGTCCTAACTAATATCACTAGGGGTCAGTGTTGTTTTATACAAAGCAGGGCCAGATAATTCTGCCACTTTCCTCACCCTACTCATTTCATCATGATTATTTTGTGCTTTCCTCTGAGCACAGCACTTCCAATTTTTGCCGCTCACTTTCCTCTTCAAACTCTAATGATGATTATGATTTTATTTCTTTTCAAAGGATATTTTCTTATATTGTTCAAAATTCTTTGGTTTCGTTTCCTTTTCATACAGTTCTGTGTTAGATGTATTTGAGGACTATTCGTATTATAGTTTCTGTTACTATAATTATAGTTGAACTCAGTGCTACACAATGAAGCCATGCCTACTGTATGTTGTGTCTATTTGTAAGGTTCTCAATGTGGTTCTAGTTGTTTTTGTAATAAGGCTTTAACCACTGAGCTGCCAGCAGTCTATGAAAGTCCATCAGCCATTATACAAGCCAGTTTGACTGGCATATAACAACAGTGACAGTGTATCACATCCAACAGTCCGCTCAGTAAATCACATTTTCTCAAGATTCAACACATTCTATACACAAACAACTTACAATACAGAACCAATTCTGAGAGTCTTGCAAAATGTTTTTCATGAATGAAAATCCTTGAGTCATTTTTTTTTTTTTACAATATTTACCAAAATTAGCCCCCCCCCCCAAAAAAAAATAAGGAACGGCACAAGAAAGATAAGGTTTGATTTGCAAATGCAAATGCATTTGATAGCTGTAATCAGAAGACATTTCAGAGGTAATCTTCCTCTTATCTTGTTAGCAGGGTTCCACAGTTAAATATAATACAAAAACACACAGAGCCTGTAAAGTTCAATTTTCAGACAGACCTTTTGTGTCAATGCAAATGTAATTCTCATATTAGTGTTTGCTCTTCTTGGCAGCGCAATCGGTTTTTGGTCTGTTTGAAATGTCTTCCTCTCTCTTTTCGTTTTTATCTCACTACTTGAATCTGGCTCTCTTAGCTGGCGATGTGTTTTTTGTTTTTTTCCCCAAACATGTTGCTGTAGGTGTCTAGTAGCCAATGGCACGGCTCCACTGCCATGGTCTGTTTCTGCACATACAGACAGTGGAGCAAGGATCTTTTCCCACTGTGCCTTCTTGTCACTTTCAGCACTCTGGCACGCTCCAACAAAGTCGCCCCTCTCACACATACATAAATACCCAGACACACACAAGTAGACACTCACACACAAACATGTAGGCCCTACGTGCACACACAGTGAGAGTCAGATTGCGTGTGTTCACTCCCGACTGTGCCTCAGAGGACTCTGTGCTTGTCCCACAGACGAGGACATGCACGGACGCACGCACACACACACACACACACACACACACACACACACACACAATTACACACACACACAAAGAATCCCGATACACACTTCCCAGCTCTGCTGGCATCCTGGGAGGGACGTGCAAGAGAGAGAGAGCAAGAGCATATGTTGGATAGACGTTTGTTGAGGGGGGATATTTCTCTTTGGATGTTGTCTTACAAGCTCTGATGGCGTGGTGCAGAAAGAAGGAATTTTTTTTTCGTCCAATTTATTAATCCTTTTAGGCAATGTTCTCTGTTCAGAAATGCAAATTGAATCAATCTGAGGCTGACTTTAAGACTTTTCAAGTGGGATTTAATTAGAAGCCAGGGCCTGCAGTTTTTAATGAGAGAGGGGGAGGAGAGACGGAGAAAGAGAGAGAGAGGCATGGGGAGGGAGAGTGGGTTGCGGTTTTGATCTGGGGGTCCTGCTGGAGAAAGGATACACAAACACCCACAACATGCACGCACACAAACATACACACATGCGCGCACACATATGCACCCTGTAGAGCCGAGTATGAGGCGGATGCCCGCTGTTCGGTTTTTCTTCACTTCCCTCATCTCCGTCTTGTGAGAGTTTTAACCAGAGATCTTGTTACTTCAGAATACATCTCGAACCCTCACATCAACGTAGCGTATCTCCGCACAGATGGAGTGAAGCTTCACGCTGCTCTTCAGTGTTGGAGCTGGTCAATGGTAAAAGACCTCAGGTCAATACCGGACAGCTCCCAAGTGTCAGGACTTGTAAAGTCATGAATGTGAAGCTGGTCTTTGCAGGAAAAAAAAAGAAAAAAACACAACTACCTCCCTTGGATGAGCAAATATAAAAGAAAATGTAAAAGGTCGATGGATAGATTTCAAGACTGGATCCTCTCAAATGCGGGGAACACATTGTGTATTCAATTATATTTTATTTATATAGAGCCAAATAATAACAGAAGTTAAGTCGGGGAAATTTTCATATCGATCAGGTCCAGACCATACTCTTAATATTATTTACAGTGACCCAACAATTATTGTATGTGTGTTATCTATAGCTGCTGCTGGTCAGTAATCATTTACATCATTTAAAAGCGGAGAAATTGTATTGATGCTCATTGTTGCTTGCTTTTGTGACTCCTTAAAATAAGGCTTAAAATGATAAAATGACTACTTAAGAACTCACATTACAGATTAAACTGAGAGCAATTCAACCAAAGAGCGATTTTAGCTCCTCAAATTTTGTAAATTTTTTATCTCATAACAACAAAGACCAAATTCTAAAACTGGCCATCATGCCATGTACCAAAAATACATGTCTTTTTTCATTTTTTTTTTCCTGTCCAGTTAATCATCTTTTAACCCCTCAGATTTATCTGAAGGCCATGAGTGCCAAATCGCTTGAGTTATTTTTACTTATTCTCGTTATTTGAACACAGATCTTCTCGTCACTCCCTTGTAAATGATTCTAGCAGACAGCCCTTCCCTCAAGAGAATAACTACTCCCTGGATTTATCAGAGATTTCACTGCAATTTGGCTATCACGTGCTACGCCTGATACATTTTGGGGAAAAATGGCGCTGTTAAAAAGGGTGAGGTCGGCCTGTGGTGTCGGGATGTGGTTTGAGAGCTCACGCTCTCCTCTCTACAGTACTCTGCCATCCTTCCCCTCTCCCCTCACGATTTCCTGTCACCCTCTCAAATTGGGGCCAAGGCTGGATAGGGTTGTGTGACATCTTTACAGCCAAAATGCTTGATTTTTCTGTTTTTCTATTGCC